TTGTCATCCTCATGTGAATCATTACCTATTAAATACTTTTCCTTCCAATATATCTCACTGCATTTTTTTTTTTTTTTTTTTTTTTTTTTGTTTTTGTTTTTTTTTTTTTTTTTTTGGAGACAGGGTCTCGCTCTGTCACTCAGGCTGGAGTACAGTGGCATAATCATAGCTCACTGTAGCCTCCATCTCCCAGGCTCAGGCAATCCTTCCACCTCATACTCCCAAGAAGCTAGCACTACAGGTGTGTGCCACCACACCGAGCTAATTTGTTTTATTAAAGTTTCACTATGTTGCCAAGGCTGGTCTTGAACTCTTGAGCTCAAGTGATCCTCCTGTCTCACTCTCCTAAAGTGCTGGGATTACAAGTGTGAGCCACTATGCTGGCTACATTTTTTTAAATACTACTCTCTAGTTCTCTTTCCACCTCCCTGCCTCTATCTGCCTCTTTTGTAGGCATTCTCCCTCTGTCCTCCATTTCTGCAATCACTCTGCCCACCATGTTTATGATACCTATGATTCTATCCCTTAGCCCTCCTCATAAACCACGGAGGCTAGAAAGCAGTGGAAGACAAATTTAAAGTACTATAAGAAAGAAAGAAAGAAAAAAAACAATGCTGTAACCCTGTAATGTGAGAATTCAGTTTCAAGCAAAACTATCCTTCAAGAATGAAGGAGAAATTAAGATATTTCTAGATGAACAAAAAGTGAGCTAATTCATCATTAGTAGACCTGCCATACAAGAAATGCCAAAGGGAGTTCTTCAGGCTAAAATGGAAGGACACGAGACAGAAGAAGTCACAAGAAAAATTAGAAAATATTAGACATGAATAGAATACAAAAACACAACATTCTAAAACTTATGGAATGCAGCTAGAAGCAGTACTTAGTGAAAAATTTATAGCTGTAGAATACCTATATTAAAAAAGAAGAAAGACCTTAATTTGGTGGCATAGGACCTGGCCTTGAGGGCTAGACAAAGCAGAGCAAACTAAATCCCAAGCAAGCAGAAGAAAAGAAATATTATATATTAGATCATATAAAAGAAATAGATTATTTAAAAAATAGGGAAAATCAGTGAAACCAAAATTTGGTTATTTGAAAACATCAACAAAATTGGCAAACCTGTAGCTAGACTGACCAACAAAAATAAAGAAAAAAGGGTCAAATTAGTAATACCAAAATCACAAATGAAATGGGACAGCAGTACTGCAGAATTTACAGAAATAAAAAGAATTGTAAGTAAAAATTTGAGTAATTACATGCCAACAAATGAAATAACCTAAATGAAATTATGAAATTCCTAGAAAAACTACCAAAACTGGCTCAAGAAGAAATAGAAAATTCAAACAGGCTTATAATAAGTGAAGATATTAAACTAATAATTTTTAAACTTCCCACAAGGAAAAGCTGATGACCAGATGGCTTTGCTGGTTAATTCTATTAAAAATGCAAAAAAAAAAAAAAAAAAAAAAAGAAAATATGTTCTTTCATTTTCATATAATTTAAAAGATTGGATAAGACAGCAACTTTGTGACTGTTTCTCAATATGGAGTTCAGTGGGATGGAAAAAAAAAAAAAAAGAAATTAAAACAAATTCTTCACCAACTCTTCAAAAAATATAAAAGAGCGCAGTAAGCAAGGAGTGGAAGAAAACATCCTCAACCTAATAAAAGGCATCATGAAAAACCACAACTAACATCATGCTTAATGATGAAAGACCAAAGGCTCTACTCTCACCACTTCTATTCAACATTGTACTGAAGGCTCTAGTCAAGGCAATTAGGCAAGAAAAACAAATAAAAGGCATTTAGATTGGAAGGAAAGGAACACAATTATTTCTACTTGCAGATGACATGGTCTTGCATATAAAAAGTCCTAAAGAATCCACAAAGAAACTATTAGGGCTAATAGATTTAGCAAGCTTAGAGAATACAAGATAAATAAAAAATTAATTATATTTCTATTTACTAGCAATGAATAATCCATAAATGAAATTGAGGACACAATTCTATTTATAATAGCATCAGCAAGAAAAACACTTGTGAAAAATATAACCCAAAAAGGCACAAAACATATACCCCGTAAGCTACAAAACATTGTTGAAGAAAATTAAAGATGATCTAAATGAGAAGACATTCCATGTTCATTGATTCAAAAGCTTAATATTGCTAACTGGTGATACTCCCCAAATTGATCTATAGATCCAATGCATTCCCTATCAAAATTCCAGATGTCTTTTATTTTGTAAAAATTGATAAGCTAATCCAAAAATTCATATGAAAATGCAAGGGAGCTGGGCGCAGTGGCTCATGCCTGTAATCTCTGCACTTTGGGAGGCCAAGATGGGTGGATCACCTGAGGTCAGGAGTTTGAGACCAGCCTGGCCAACATGGCAAAACCCCATCTCTACTAAAAATACAAAAATTAGCCAGGCGTGATGGCGTGTGCCTGTAATCCCAGCTACTTGGGAGGCTGAGGCAGGAGAATTGCCTAAATCCACGAGGCAGGGGTTGCAGTGAGCCAGGATCACGCCAGTGCATTCCAGCCTAAGAGAAAATGCAAGGGATTCAGAATAGCCAATCAAGAAAAAAAAAAAATTGGCACAGTCACATTCCCAACTTCAAAACTTTCTGTACAACTACAGTAATCAAGACTGTGTGTGACTAGCCTGAAGACAGATATAAAGATCAACTAACTTTCAACAAGGGTGCCAATACAATTCAGTGTGATAAAGAATAGACTTCAACATACGGCAGTGAGATAAGAGTGGATATCCACATGTAAAATAAATATATAAATAAAGTTGGACTCCTTCTTTACACCATGCAAATTAACTCAAAACAGATCAAAGACTTAAATTGAAGAGCTAAAACCACAAACTCTTAGAAGAAACCATAGGCGTAAATCTTTGTGACTTTGGCTTAGGCAATAGTTTCTTTACTATGACACCAAAAGCACAAGCATCCAAAGAAAATAACAGATAAAGAAGACTGCATCAAAATTTAAAACTTTGGTGCTTCAAAAGACAATATTAAGAAAACAAAAAAGACAACTCACAGAATGGAGAAAATATTTGCAAATCATATATCTAGAAGGCTCTAGTATTCAGAACATAAAGGTCTCTTATAATTCAATGATAAAAAGATAAAATGAACATGGATGTACATAAGGGATCTTAATAGACATTTCTCCAAAAACGAAATACAAATAGCCAATAAGCACATGAAAAGATGTTCAACATAATTACTTATTAGAGAAATGCAAATAAAAACTACAGTGAGACACCACCTCATACCTACTGAAATGGCCATAATCAAAAGAGGAACAATAACCAACGTTGGTGAGAATCTGGAGAAACGGGAACCTCAAACATACTGGTGGGAATTCTACAGCCGTGGTAGAAAATAGTCTCTCAAAATGTTAATCATGGACTTACCATATGCGCCAGCACTTCCACTCTTAGGTATAGTATTGATTCAAGCAACAATATGGATGAACCTTGAAAAGTTTAAACCAAATGAAAGAAGGCTACATATTATGTGATTCCATTTATGTAAAAAGTAAAAAATAGGCAATTCTGGAGACACAGAAGGTAAATTAGTGTTTTCCAAGGGCTGGAGGGAGAAGAGAATGGGGAATCACTGCTAATGGATATAGAGTTTATTTTGGAGGTGATACAAATCTGCGGTTATATAAGATGAAAAAAATATTTTTTAAATGTTCTATAATTAGTGGAAATGATTACACAAACTCACGAATATGCTAAAACCCATTGAATCACACATTTTAAAGGGGTGACTTTTATGGTATGTGAATTATATCTCAAAAACAAGAAAAGGGAATCTTCTGACTCCCAAACCCTAGTCCTCCTCTGTGGAGGCAATTAATGTTACTTGTTTCTTAGATATCATTTCTGAAATAGACTGTATATGTACAAACACATATTTGTGGGTCTGTAGGTCCCTTATTAAAAACAGATATATAAGCATAGCAGACACATTGTTCTAGACTCTTTTTTTTCCCCTTATAACTTCAAGATCACTGTTCCTTGCAGATTATTCCATTTCAGCATATGTAAGTATTCTTTATTCATTTTTATTTTGGGATATTTTATAATTTAGTTGGCTAGTCTTTTGCTGTTCCAAATAATGTTCCAATTAATTTCCTTTTATATCTTTCCAGCACAAGTGTATGACGGGAATACATTTTGAGAAGTAAAATTTCTGGTTGAAAACATTTTTATTTTAATAAATTGCCATTATTGATTTAATGTCTTTCTCACTTGATTATGAGCTCCTTGAGAAAAGACACTATGTCTGTTTTGTTCACCAGAGTACATCTAGAGTCTGGCACATTGTCTGACATACTGCTTAATATACTTGTAGATTGACAAGCCTATGCATTTTACCGTATAAAGTGACAAATAGAAATTCAAAGTTATACTGTTCAAAAACTCTTGATCCAGTTTATAGGAATTGTTTATAAGAACCGATCCAGGCATAAGAATTGTTTGGGGATTTTCTTTTTCTTTTTTTTTTTTTTTTTTTTTTTTTTTTTTTTTTTTTTTTTTTTTTTTTTTTTTTTTTTTTTTTTCCTACTCTGTTAATAGAATGCTTTGAAAAATTGTGAAATCAATTGCAATATACATTCTAAGAAAGACAGAATCCCTTAATCTCATCTGAATATATATATTTTGGTAAATAAAATTTTCTTATATTTCAGTATTCTGTATTTCAGTTATTTAAAAAAGAGAGAGAATGGGGTTGATTTGGAACTTTAAGAGACCTAATAGTGACACCTGCTGGAAAAAAATGTCAGAATAAAATTTGAACCGTTAAATCTTTTTAAAATTTTAGACCAGTTTTATGTTTCTATTAATCAGGAAGAAATGTGTTATTTTATGACAGGAATGTTTGTAATAAGTAAATATAATTGTTTACAAGAAGCTCTTTTATGTTCTACAAGATTATAGAGAAATACATCTTTTCTTTTTTTTTTAGGACAAAGTGATTTTGGGAACTGATTACCCCTTTCCACTAGGTGAGCTGGAACCTGGGAAACTAATAGAGTCCATGGAAGAATTTGATGAAGAAACAAAGGTATAATGTCTTTTACTTCACAGCTTTCTTACTGACTTTTCCTGCTCTAATTGGGTTTGGTTTCGGAGCTCTTTGATATATGAAAACAAAGAACAGAGGAATCATTACACTTAAATCCCAAAAACTATTACTCTATCTCCATAAATAGCTAANAAGACAAAACTGAAAGTCAGCCTAGTATAACTAAATTCATATTACTTAAGAAAGAAAATTATATAGAAGCATATGACAATAAAATATGCCTGCATGTTAGATGGATCATAGAAAAAAAGGTTAAATTTTTTCTATATTATTTCTGTTACAAATACACCAATCTTAAAAGTTGTAATAACTCTAGTTATTTAGATAATGAAACTAAAGTCTTGGTTAAAAAGGACCAAAGGAATCAGATACTTCAAGTATCTGGACTTTTTTTTTCCTGGCGTTTGACTTTTAAGGTAGGTAAACTAATATGTGCTATAATGCTACCATTACCCCTTAGACTCCTGAACCGAGATGAGTTTAAAATGAGATGCAGTGTCTTAAGATTCCTTCTCCTTTGCCACTCCTTCCACACCCCAATCCTTCAGAAAAAAAAATAACTTCTTCCTAAGGCCTTCACTGCTCATCACTCCCAGAGGTCAAGGATAGCCAAAAATAACAATATGGGAATATATAAACTCTTAATAAATCTTACAAAAGTCTTAGTTGTAATCCTTTGGCATAATTTTTAGCTTTCTTCTAAACTAGAATCCAAAGTTTACTTTGAACTCTCTCTGCCTTAATCATTAAAGATATTGTTCATCAAATCTTCTCAATAGGCTTGAAGCACATTAACAGATGCCAAGAAGAATTCGTTCTGCAGTATACTAGTTACAAGTTATTAACTGGGAAACCTCAGACTATTTTACAAAGAAAGTGTCCCCTGTGGCACTAAAAGTCTTGAACTGTTAAATATTAACTACTAAATATTGTTAAATATTTACCTGCTTCCTTCCTAAAGTAGGAAGTGTCGTAAAGACATTTTTTTTTAAACAAGAAAGGTTGAAAATGAAAAATTTCCTGTTAACCAAAATTAAACAGAAACCAGATGATCCCAAATATCCTGATTAAAGACTTAATGGAATAATATTAATTATTACATGCCTTTTATTTATTCATATGTGCTTATAACTTTCAAGTTTTTTTTTTGTAATCTTGCATAAAGGTTTTATACTGACACAAATTCACAATGACATTCGGTACAAGTTTACTCATTGTAATGCTGTAATATAGAAAACAATCTTTAGGGGAATAGTTAAATAAATCATAATATATCCACACAATGGAAACTATGCCACCACAAATAAATTAGAACTCAATTTCCAAGATACATTAAATTTTAAAAAGCAAGGTATAAAACAATTTGTATAGTATACTTCCATTTGTAGATCGAATACATCTTTTGTGAAAAAGAATCTTTATATGCCTGAATATAAGTATTTGCTTATGCAGTATAAACATAAAATATCTCTGGAACATAAACAAGAAACTGATAACTCCGGGAAGAAGAAGGTAGTTAGATGGCAGTAATGGAATGAAGTATCTATTTTATACATTTTGAATTTTGAACCATGCAAAGGTAAATACCACTAAAGAAATTTAAAATAAAATAAATAAATCCATTTGATAAGTACAACAACATTGGAAGGTACAGCAGTCCCCCCTTATCCTCAGTTTTGCCTTCTACGGTTTCTCTTATCCCAGTTAACCACAGTCCAAAAATATTAAATGGAAAACTCCAGAAACAAACAATTCATAAGTTTTAAATTCCATGCCATTCTGAGTAGCACAGTGTAAGCTCACACTGTCCTGCTCTCTCCAGCCCAAGACGTGAATCACCCCTTTGTCAGCATGAAGACATGCTATATCCACTCCCTCCCCATTAGTCACTTAGTAGCTGTCTTGGTGATCAGATGGACTGTTGCCATATTGCCATGCTTATGCTCAACTCACCCTTATTTTACTTAATAATGGCCCCAAAGCACAAGAGTAGTGATGCTGGCAATTCAGACATGCCCAAGAGAAGCTGTAAAGTGCTTCCTTTAAGTGAAAGGGTAAAAGTTCTCAATAAGAAAAAATAGAAAAAGTATATGTTGAGGTTACTAAGTTCTTATTTTGTAAGAATGCATCTTCTATCTGTGAAACTGTGAAGAAGGAACAATAAATTTGTGCATAGCATTTATAAGACTCTATATAGCATCCACGGAGGGTCTTGGAATGTATCCTTCATAGATAAGCAGGGGCTGCTGTGTATAAGCAGATGCATTCCACCATGAAGATGTGGAGAAAGAAAACAAGACTTGGGAGTTTAGTGACTTGTCAAAGGCAATATAACTGGTGGGTTATAGCATATGGATGTGATCCCAAATCCCTGGACTCCAGGATCAGATCTCCATCTAACATTCTAAAGGGTACCTCCCTCAAAGGATACATGGTACCAAGCTATCTTAAAAGGTAAAGCACATGGTTTCTCCAAGCAGCAATAGTCACTTCTGAAATCTTCCTCTAGAGGAGGATGTCCTAAGTATATACTGGGGAAGAACTCTGAGTAAGAGGTCCCTGCCTCAAATCACCCACTTTTCAAGGCTGTGTAAAAACCCTAAAGTGGTCACAATATAGAAGGACATATTAATAGTATGGATGTTACACAACCCCATACATTTCTTCCATCCTCAGCTACATGTCTGTCTTTTGCAAGCTGGATAAACAAATTAAGGTTTCACAAAGTTACTTCTTAAATCTCCTCTTTAGGCAGAGTTGATATAGTTTATAGCTAGGGAGTCTTTCTTTTACGTGAATATTTTAATATGTACAGATTTGTACCCTCATCTGAGACCCTTCATTTATATCACTTCTCTTGCTTTGAAAAAGCTTAACTTTTGTTTAGGGCCATGTGAAAAAAACAACACATAGGCCTAGCAGCTGGGGGATGACTAGATGATTTCTGGGCACCTTTTGCAGCCCTTGTGTCCCACAGATCTAACTGTACCTTTTCTCTGTATTTGCCTCCAAATGGTCTTTAAGATCCAACCTGTTACAGGGTCTAGTTTCCCAAAAAGGGCATCTCCTAAGGAAGGCTCTCCCCCTTATAAGTCTTTTCTCTCCCCCTACAATCAAGTTTCAGATTGAGATTTCAAATAGCAGGGCAAAACATAAGTCAAGAGGATTTGGGTAAGAGATTCACTGTATAATCTGCTCATATTTTTCTCTCAGATTGGGGAGCTAATTTTTTAAAAACCTGATCAACATATTCAATGTAGCACTTAAAAAACAACCAATAATGCTTTAACATAAATTATTTTGTTTTCTTTTCAGAATAAACTCAAAGCTGACAATGCCCTGGCATTTTTGGGTCTTGAGAGAAAACGATTTGAATGACTGAATTTACTACAAAGGCAAACTTTCAAATGAATATCTCATTTTTGTTTTTAAATATGTATCAACAGGCATTAACAAAATCCTATTTTACTCAGAAATAGAATGTCTCAAATATCCTAAATTATTCATAACAAAAATGATTCATAAGTTTTCATTCTGAAAAGCAGTACATTATTTCATGTGCAAATCAAAAATGATTTCCCCAGTGCCCTTTTAATTAATCTGAGGAAATACAAAATAAAATGTCAATAATGATTTATATGGAGAAAGATTCATCCTAGAGAGCTCAGGTAGGTTGTCCATTTTGAATAAAGAGATGTGAATTGGACTCAAATAACCTGTTCCATCCACCTTTAAACACTTACCATTAGCCCAGAATTGGGCTGGAAATGCTTTAGCCTCCCCAAAATAAATAACATGAATTTAGAATATCCATAACCTCAGGGAGCTTCCAATTAAGGACTTAAGACATGTTCATGGAATAATTACTAAGCTATAAATTTGACTTTGAGTATCAATGAAGTTTCATTAAGAGGAATTACTTTGGCCTAAAACTGTTGAGCAGATCTTCACAGAGATTGGAACTTGAGAGTACAGGAGATGAATATGGCATTTTTAAGGTTAGAGGATGAGTAACAGGAAGGCAAAACTATGGGAACACAGCTGTGGTTTCAGAGTGAATGAGACATCCATTTTGGAGAAAAGTTTTTGTCTATAATTTTACTTCTACCAGAAGCTCTTTTTATTTAAAATACTGAGCAGAATATATAAAGCTAGCTCTGGAAAGTTAATAGGGTAATACGAGGGTAGCCTTGTTTTAACCATTTCATTTACAGCCCCACTTGGGCTGCTGAAAAGGAACTTGGTCCTGGAATGGTTGATGAACATCTATGATTCATCTACCTCTGGCTGAACTCTAAAATCAAACATGATTTTTCAAAACTACCCTCTTGCTTTGGATTCATTCATACTTCTTTTCCCTTCCATTCATCTAGAAAATCAAGAGTTGAGTATTCAAAATGCCAAGGGACAAAAGAGAGAATAGAAATTAAAAATAAAAAGAGTTGAGTATTAACATGTAATTTGTGCTGACCCCTCTCCAGAATAAAGATGAGATCTAATTCTTACTTCACTATGCTCACTCCATTATTTTCACTTTATATAGTTCACTGCCCCTCTTATTTCTCACCTGCCCCCTGTTTCTTTCCAGGATTTCACCCCCCACCACCGCCATTCTGCTTATTGCTCCAATCTGCCCAAAAAGGAAAACTAAGTTGAACAAAGCAACAACATGAAGTATATGTTGTTTTTTCCTTCCCCAATCTTTGGGGGTAATGTCTACACCTTTTCAAATATTCTATATTTGAGCACTCTGAACACAACATATAATGATTGTCTTATTATAAAAAGCAACCCAATCACTTTATTCAATATCATACACACACACACACACACACACACACACACACACAGAGTGAACAGGTATATTCATATTTACCTGCTTTCTATGTGCCTGGACTATAGGAATGCTCCAGGCACTGGTAGTACAGATGTAAACAAAAAGGATAAAATTCCTTCTCTGACAAAACCTACAATCCAAAGAATGAGAAACATAAACAAGGTAAGGAAGAAGAAAAAGAGGAATAAAAGGAAGAAAGATAAACACTATGAAGAAATCAAAACAAAAATGTGGTAGCGACTAGGAGAAATATGGGGGTAAAATATTAAGTTGTAGAGTCAGAGAAGGCCTCTTTAAAGAAGACTCTGAACTGAGATTTGAATGATAAGGAAGAAAATGAAAGGTTCTGAGGCAAGAAATCTTGTGACCAGTGTGTGAGCAAGGAAGAGAGATAGGAGAGAAAGCCAAAAAGTCGGCCAGATCAGTAGATAATGGTCAAGGGTTGAGATTTTTATATTGTTTCACAGGAAGCCATTGGAGACTTTAATAGGTCTGCGACATGCTCAGACTTACGTTATTCTTTAAAAAAAAAAAAAAAATTAGCAGGGTGCAGTGGCTTATACCAGTAATCCCAAGACTTTGAGAAGTGGAGGCAGGAGGATCACTTGAAGCCAGGAGATTGGGACCAGCCATAGCAATCTCTACAAAAATAATTTTAAAATTGGCTGGATGTGGTGGCTCATTCCTGTAGTCTCAGCTAGTCAGGAGGCTGAGGTGGGAAGATGGCTTAAGCCCAAAAGTTTAAGGCTGCAGTGAGCTAGGATCATGCCACTGCATTCCATGCCTGGGTGTCCAACTGAGACCCTGTCTCAGAAAAAAGAAAGAAAAGAAAAGCTGAAAAGAGAAACCCACACATATTAACAGCTTTGTAGAGACTTAATAAAGGGGGTCAAGAAAGGAAGTAAGAGGCTAGGCAAGAAATGATGGTGACGCAGGCACAAATACAAGAATGGGGATCATGAGATAAGTTTCTAGGCAGAACCACCAGCATTTAATGATGGACTTACTGTGATGAAGAGGGAGGAAGGGAAGGAAGGAAATCAAGGTTGACTCCTGGGTGTGTGAATATGAAGTGTATGTACACATGTGCACGCTATGCTTTTGTTAATCAGTCTCCTATCTCTGGGCATTTAAATAATTCCTAATATTTTATAATTATCAATAATTCTGTAATAAAATTTGATTCATTTCCCAAATCATACATATGGATAAACTATAACTCTGATTGGATCAAGTACTTAATTCTAAAATATTAAACTACGCAGGTACTAGAAGAAAAGATGAGTGATTTCCTCTTTAATCTGGGTGTAAAGAGGGTTTTCTAATTATGACTTTCCTGGGCACATAATCCTGGTGACATTTAAGCTTTGAGATGATTAATAGTAGTTAATGGTATTAAACTCATCCATACTTTCGACATGGGTGCTTTGATTCCCAGGTTTTTCACTTTAACAGCTGGGTAGATATATTACAATTTACCATAATGAGGAAGATTATGAGAGAAACAGTCTTGAGAGGAAAGAGAACCAACAGTTTTGTAGCTGGATTTGTTATGTTTCAGATGAATCTGAGACATTTAAGTAGGAATGTCAAGGAAGTACTTGAGTATACTAGTCTGGAGAGTTCAAAAGAGAGGCTGGGGAAAAGTCACCAGTGTATAAAAGGTATTTAAAGAAATGAGACTGGATGAAATCACCTGGTGAAAAAGTAAAGCAGAGATGCAAAATACTCTAGAACTAATTCCTGAGATTCACTAACAATTAGAATTTAGGGCTGGGTGCAGTGGCTCATGCCTGTAATCCCAGCACTCTGGGAGGCCGAAGTGGGCAGATCACCTGAGGTGGGGAGTTCAAGACAAGCCTGACCAACATGGAGAAACCCCATCTCTACTAAAAATACAAAATTAGCTAGGCATGGTGGCGCATGCCTGTGATCCCAGCTACTCAGGCGACTGAGGCAGGAGAATCGCTTGAACCCTAGAGGTGACAGTTGCAGTGAGCTGAGATCGTGCCACTGCACTCCAGCCTGGGTGACAGAGCATGGCTCTGTCTCAAAAAAAAAAAAAAAAAAGCAGTTAGATGAAGGCACCAGCTTTGTACACAGAACAGTAGCCAGAGAGGTAGGGAGAAAACCAGGAAAATATACTCAGGAGTCAAGAACAGACAATGATTCAAGAAATCCTAACAGCTTTAAATTCAAGAAGTCCTAACAGCTTTAGGCACACACACACACACACACACACACACACACACACACACACAGAAATCAAAGCTACAATACTATGATATTCAATAGAACCATATGCCTCAGATATAACTCAATCCTTTTATCCCCAAATTTAATTCCACTTCTTATAGTCCCAACCCTGATTAACAGCATTACCCACTCACCTAAGTCTTCTCCTTCATCCATATAAATACACCATTAAATCCAAAAGATTCAACCCATTTTATATATTTTATTTTTTATCTGTTCTTTCCTCCCTATGGCTTCCAACTAAATTCAGGTCTTCATCTCTCAGCAGGATATTGAAATAATCCTTTATTTGTACCCCTGCCCCTTGGCTTAGTCTGATACAACTCATCTTCTACCTTGGTGCCAGAGAAAAATTTCCAAAGTATGTATTTGATTATATTACTTTCTCTGTTAAAATTACTCAGGACCTAAAGTGGTGGTTACTAGGTTTTAGAATTTCATTGCTCAGTAAGTCCCCTTTTTAAAAAAAAAATGTAGTGCTATCTCTAACAGAGCACACGTCTCATTTTGAGTTGTGATTCCTATCTTCCTTCTAGACTGGACTTTCTGGAGGGATGACCTATACCTTCATTCACTCATCCATTCAACAAAATTTATTGAGGACTTACTATGGGCCAACAACCATGCTAGCTTCTCAGAGTATGAAAAATGCAAACATGGTTTCTGCCCTCAGTTGTGCTTATAATCTAGGGAGACATGTATCAAATAAGCCACAAATTGATATAAAATTGCTGCCACAACAGAAGCTATAAAGGAAAGGCACACAGTGGGTAGAAATCTTATTATAAAGGATTTGTCCTAGTTAATAGAGAAAGATTTTTCAGAGAAAAGTTTTGCTTGAGCTAGAATCTGAAAGCAAACAAGAGCTAAAAGCTAAAAAGGGAAGGGAAGAGTATTCCAGGCAGAAGAAACAGGATAAATGAAAGCCTTGTGTCTGTGTAGGAAAACAGTCATTGTATGGCAAGAGTGACTCCATCTGGGAGGGGACTCGCCGTAATAACCGATGTTTGACCCCTGCATACCAAAGTGTTCTGCAGCAAGGTCTTTAAGCAATGCCTACAGCATATGTAGCCCTGTATAAAGATGCTTATCTAACCTCCCCAGTCGTCATGAGTTACAGCAAGAAAGGCTGAGATGTAATCAGCTGCACATGTTTGTACCTTGAAAGCTTGCTATACAAATGATACTTTCTGTATGGTGAATGTAGGGACCCACCATCACATGGCCACCCTAGATATCACTTCTATTTGTAAGATCCTATTAAATATTTCTCTCTGACAAACTGAATTTGTCAGCCTCTTTCTTCAGCCTCTCAGCTCCCTCAGCCCTTGGGGATGGGTTTACACAGACCTGCTCACCACGGAACAGGCAGGAGAGAACACAGCAAGAAAGAAAACCACTGTGGCTCAAGATGAGAAAGGAAGACATTCTTGGTATAAAGTGACAAGATCATGTGATGCCATAAGTCAGTTGAGGAATTGTATATATTGAAAAGCTGTGAGAACTCACAAAATGGGAGAAAATATTTGCAAACTACCCATCTGACAAGGGATTAATAACCAGAATCTATAAGGAGCTCAAACAACTCTACAAGAAAAAAATTTAATAATCTGATTTTAAAATGGGCAAAAGATTTGAATAGACATTTCTCAAAAGAAGATATACAAATGGCAGACAGGCATATGAAAAGGTCCTCAGTATCACGGATCATCAGAGAAATGCAAATCAAAACTATACTGAGATACCGTCTTACCATAGTAAAAACGGCATTTCTCCAAAAGACAACCAGTAACAAACACTGGCACGGATGTGGAGAAAAGGGAACCCTTGTACATTGTTGGTGGGAATATAAATTAGTACAATCACTACGGACAACAGTTTGGAGGTTCCTCAAAAAACTAAAAATAGATCTACCATATGATCTAGTAATCCCACTGCTGGGCATATACCCAAAAATTGGAAGTCAGTGTATCAAAAGGATATATCTGCACTCTCATATTTGTTGCAGCTCTGTTCACAATAGTCAAGATTTGGAAGCAACCTAAGTATCCATCAACAGATGAATGGATAAAGAAACTGTGGTACATATACACAATGGAGTACTACTCAGCCATAAAAAAGAATGAGATCCTATCATTTACAACAACATGGATGGAACTTGAGGTCATTAAGTGAAATAATCCAGTGACAGAAAGACAAACTTTGCATGTTTTCAGTTATTTGTGGGAGCAAAAAATTAAAATAGTTGAATTCATGGACATAGAGAGCAAAAGGATGATTACAAGAGGCTGCAGTGTATAATGGGTAGGGGGATGGGGATGGTTAACGGGTATCAAAAGTAGTTAGAAAAAATGAATAAGACCTAATATGTGATAGCACAATAGGTGACTATTATAGTCAATAATAATTTAA